CGGTGGCTCAGCGGTTGAGCGCTGGGTTGCGAAGCTGCCCGCAGCCTCTGCAGCGCCGGTTCGATCCCCGGCTGCTCCCCGGCCACCAGAGGAGGGTCCCACATGGCGCACAGACCTCTCCTGCCCCCCGCTGCTCCCCTCAGCAGTGTACTTCGGTCCTACTGCCTGCTCTGCTCCCTGCTCTGGCTCTGGTGAATTCTCTCACCCTCCCGGGCTTCTGACTGTACCCAGTGCTTGCATAAATAAATAAAAAATAAATAAATCTTAAAAAAAATTTTTCAGATGATTCTAATGTGTTGCCAAAATAAAGAGATTAATAACAAAACTTTTGAGGCAATACTTTTCTCATGAGACTAGTACTGGAACTGCTTTGATCTATCACCTTATTTGCCAGGCATTTTTCTGGTAAACATAAGCCAATACTAACAATAGCTCACCTGAAAAATAATTAGTATCTACCTATTACTGATATTTGAGGGATTTTTTTTAACCATTTGGAGCTAGATAATTACTGCTTATTACAGACTGGGAATGGAAATTTCATTTTGGCAGAGTCCTCTCCAATCCCTATTCCTCTTACACCCAACCTGCTTTTTTTCATTAACTTAACCTGTTTGGAACCTTTGGGGATGTGAGTTTGCAAAGCTACCACTACAACCCTAAGTTAGTAAGTTACAGATGATATAGTAAGTCACAGGTCAAACATGTTCAAAGAGAAAATTTAAATGTATCTCCCCAGGGAGACTTTAGATAAAATATTCATTTGCATAGGTGGTTTTTCCAGTTAGCTCTGAGATTCACTGGATTTCTAATATTCTGTGATCTATATCACTTAAGTTTTTACATGGATCATTTTCTCAGCCCCAAACAAAATTAAACAATTGGGAAATCAATATCTAAGCATGGCAAGAAATAACTTGTCTTCTTAATGTCTGAGATTGCCAGTGTTTATAATAGTGACTGAGTCATAATAAGTAGTCACTACATATGTATTGTCATTAAAATAGTGAGTTAGAATTTAACATTAGCTATTTTGCTTTATTTATAGTCATAAACTAAATAAAAAATTTCATTAAAAACACATGGGAGGTCTGAGTCAGGCTGACAGCTGAAACACATGTGAACGTATATTCAAGTGCCTTAGCAACACGGGAGTTTGTTTCTTGATTATTAGGGTAGGCAGGATTCCAAGACAGTGCCTGAGATCCCCACCCAAAGTAGTGTATGATCTGCATAACCCCTGGAACTAATATTTGGTCTTGACGGTTGATTACGTGATGATACATGGCACATTCGTCATAAAAACAGAGATTATCTGGGTAGATCTTACCTAATTAGATAAGCCTTTCAAAAAGACCAGAACTCAGAGAAAGATCTTTAGTACAGGAAGAATTTGATGCGAATAAAATGGCTAGTTGCTGGATTTGAAGATGGAGGAGCCACATGACAAACTATGAAAGTCATCAAGAAAATGGAGACATCCGTCTGGACCTGTAAGAAACCGAATTCCGCTAACAGCCTGCTGACGCTGGGAGCTCCTGGCCAAGCCCCCGCTGAGGACGCAGCCAACTTGCTCTCTGTCCTGCAAGTCTGGAGTGGAGAACTGAGCCACACTGGGCTGGACTTCCGGCCTGCAGACCGTCCACTGATGAAGGGAAGTTGTTTTAAATAACCGAATCTGCGATAGTTTGTTGCACAGCAGTAGAAAACAAGTCATTTAACAGCTTCAACTGGCCACAGTGGTTGCGGGTGGCTTCTTCTCATCGGTCTATTTCTGGAACCCAGGTTCAGCTCTGCAGTCACCTATGGGCTGAACTCCTGGGAAGGAGGACGTGACAGTGGACGAGGCATACTCTACCTGCTTCTGAAAAGGCCGGCTTGGAGGCAGCAAACATCACTTACACGTACGCTTTGTGGGGAGGTCTAGTTCCCCAGCTATAGCTCAGTTCAAGGCATCATATAATCCTGAGCGGCTTCCTGCTGGAAAACTCTCATTGTGGAGGGGGCTAAACATTTCTTTTCTGTCAGGTTTTCATGTATTTGAATATTAAGGCAGCTATGTGTCCTCCCTGCTATTGCAATAACGAGCAGTCGTTATATTGCATATTCTAATTTAGATATAGACAAGAATTAGAGCAACTTTTTTTTTTATGAAAAAGAAGGAATGTGTTTCAATGACACATTTATCATCAGAGACCTTACTAGGTATGACAACAGTATAGGAAGAGAATCAGGTCTCCCACCCAGAGGGTGTTCCTCTGGGAATAACTAAGTCCTCCTCTCCAATAAGTCCCTCCCTCCACCTTCTCCTGGGATGGTGCAAGGAAAGATTGCTCCCTTATCACTTACCAATGAAGAGATGAACCGGCATGGATACCCTGTGCACAGAGCCAAGGCAGCATGACCTTGACCTTCCCCGGACCTGAGCACCCAGCAATATCCGAGTGATTCTTAGCTATTCACCTATGCAAAACTCAGCTATCCTCACCCTCCCACCCCAAGACAACAGCCTGCTCTCATAACAAGCTTAACTAGCTTGAGAGTCTCTCTCTGCGTGTGTGAGCATTGGAGGCCATGTTCAGCCACTGCAGCGGTGGCCCAAACAACCCGTGCCTTGGGAACAGCTAAGGTGTGTGAATTGGCCTCTAGGATTTGATGCAAGCGTGAGCATCACTCACTACCTGGTTTTATTTTCCAAGTTGAATTTAGTACATACAGTTTTGAACTTAGGAAGTTGTTAGAGAAGGAAATGAATTTTTTTTACATGAACCTTAAGAAATATTCAACAGGGAATATATAATCTTCTCCATGATGACTCCTATTTATTGATCTGCCTTGCTTTATTTGATATCATAAATGTCTAGACAAATGGAAGTTATGAGAACTATAAATGCATAGTCAGGCAGACTCTTATATTCCAGGAAGGGGCAGGGAGGGGTCGGGTGAAGAAAAACAGGGAGATGAACTGCTAAAAAGACCAAAAAAGGGATCCTGAATTCCCAAGGAAGGCCAGTGAGTCTCAGGAGGACTGACATTGCTGATGAACTGGAATGTTCCAAATGTCTCAGTGACAGCTCCTGTTTCATCCTTCCTTCATCAAAAGATCTCCTCTAGATATGTCTGAGGCTCTATTATTTTTCAGGGACCTTGGTCTCGCTTCCTCCCTAACTTCTTCCTCCTTCCATCTCCTTCCTGCCCCTCTCCCCACCCCCTCCTGATCTCTTCTCTCCCTCCCTTGCTTTCTCTCACATGTCTTTCCTACTTCTCTCTCCGGGTTAAGCACTGAAGTGCTGAAAATATATGGTCCAGCAGCCTGTGGTATCCGTTGTTAACTCTGTGTTAAATAAGCTGACAAAATGCAGAAGGTAACTGGCCTTGAGAGGTGTTCTCTGGGTGGCTCAAGGCAGATTTGGGTGATTCGAGGGCCTCCGATCATGTCACTCTTCTCTGAATTCTTATTGCCTGAAAATTGGGTAAAGCCCAGACTCCACAGCATGGCAGACAGACAGCCATCTACTGCAGATGGCCCAGCCCGTCTCCCCACACAGTCAAATTCTCACCACTTTCCTCGAGGTCCCCATGTTCCGGCTTCACCATCATGTTCACCCTTTCCCAAACACGACTGGGCCTTTTCAACTCCATGATGCGTGCTTGGTGCATAACACCTGGGTGCCTTGTCACACTCTTTCTTTCTTAAAACTCCTATTCATCCTTCAAGACCCAAACTACCTCATCTGTGAAGCTTCTTCAGATACCCACAAGCTGAAGTGATGGCTCCTCACTCTGAATGACTTACAGGATAACATCCATATTTGCACTAGTGCACGTATTACCCGTGCTGGATGGTTCATACTCTGTCCTACCCTGGACTCTGAAGGCTCAGAGAGAAGGAATGGGAACTTACTCCCTGGTCACCTAGTTTGCATCCACTGTGACGAGGAATATTTCTTATGTAAGATGGGCCTCGCTGACAAGTTCCCTGCATATTGTGACATCAGCACTATTGACCTTGAATATGAAAGTTTAGAACTACATATGTACTGATTTAGACAAATGCTTCTTAGGAAAATTTGACTTTATAAAATTTAAAGTTGGTCTACAAAAGTTTGTTGTTCGGTTTCTCTAAATTAGGAGCTCTGGTAGTGATTGCAACATACCTCAGCTTAGTAAAACATGACATATATGTACGTTTCAAAATAATTTTATTACATAAAATGACATTATTCTCTCTCTCCTTCAGACACACACACGCACACACACACACACACTGGATATGCCAAACTAATCTATGAATATCTTAAAATTTTGTCATAAACTTTAGGCTTTTCCTTTCTCTAGTTTATTCATATCAATACCTGGAGGCAGGGGGATCACCAATATTTTGCAAAGGCTCCCAGGTAATTCTGGTGTGGAGCCAGGACTGAGGCGTGCTATGTGCTAAGATGTAGGTGTCTTTGCTGTCGGAAGTGTTGACTCTTACCAGAATGCTGTTCATACACAGGAAAGTGTCCCCGGGTAACTGAGTATGTCACCCTATTGCCACTCCCTCAACTGCGAGTTACGTTTCCTGTGAATCCAGGTGTAGAGAGTGGCCTCTGACCGGCAGTCAGGCTGCTCCAGTGGGAGGGGTTTTCTACAGGGAGTGAAGGTTTGAGGCACCTTTCGAGAACACTTTTTACTGAGCACACACGGGGTGACTCCTCTTTCTTTTGAATGTTGCCTGGAGATCGCTTTTTGAGATGGAAGGTCTGTACCTACAGGGCATTTACGTCTGCATTTGACCAGGGGTGATGGTGGGAGCCCAGGCGGCTCTGTGTACTTAGGAAAGTGGGACAATAAAAGGACAGCTCGTTGTGCTGCCCGGATGTTGCGCTGTCAGTAATGATTAACCATGGAGTGGGAAGGTGTGCCGGGTGGAGGCTGAAGGCCAGCAGGTGTGGGAGCTTCAGCTCTGCTTTCTACTCCAGAGTCACACAGGACATGTGTGTTTTTCTTTCTAGGTTCGAACCAGTGTCCTACCTGAGCATAAGGATCCCCCATCAGAGGTTGGGGTAAGTGTCTATGTTTCCGAAAGGCACACATACGGCGTCTCTGAGGAAAGGCTCTGTCATGTGTAGGGTGCTGGAGAGCCGTCTCATGACGTCAACTTGGGCACTTCAGAAGCTTCTGAAACTTGTACCACAGTTCCTGTGTGTAGTTTTATGAGAACGGGTCCAAATATTGGTGATACGTTCATTTTAGCTGCAAGTCGGCATTCAGAAACAGAAATAGAAATAGAGTGTGTGCCATAAATGCAGGCCTCAGGTATGACTTTCAATGTGCTAGTCACCCATGCTTTAAAAAACATAAAAAGAAACATATGAAATTAGCTTTAATATTTTATTTCACCCAACATATGCAGAGTGTTATCATTCAAAAGGATTCAGTAAATTATGGATGATATACTTCATGCTCCTTTTTTTCATGCCACCTGATAAATCCAGTGTGTATATTATTTACACTTGGAGGACATCTCAGTTCAGCGCTAAAGCTGGTGTTAAAGCAAAGCTCTAGAAAGTACGTGGAAAAACTGGCAAGCCACATGAAAACCAAATATAAAAGAAGTCTGTGCTTTGAGCACAGGCCTTGTGAGATGGCCGTAGGTGAGGGCGCTCTGGCAGGCTCAGGCATGTGGAGGGTGCACCCTGGAGCTCCTGGTGAGCGCTGCTTGGCCAGGGGACCGTTGAGGACCTGCTGCAGGGAGCTGCGTGCTCGGCTGAACAGTCCGATGGCGCCGGCTTGCGCAGACTTCCTGCAGGTGCTGTCAGGATGCGCTGTCCATGCCCCAGAGATAGAGACAGGGGCCCCGCTTTTTTTCACCCTTCTTGATAGCATTCTCCAGCCAGGTGAGGGGGTGAGCTCATGCATCAAGCAAGTGATCTCTGCTCTGGGTGATCGGACAGGATGAGAACTGTGAGTGTTGCTATCAGCAGCTGTTGTCAGGAGCTGGTAAGACTGGTCAGAGGTACATGTTGACAGGCAAAGAGAGCCTGTACGGGAACAGGAGGGGCCACCTGTCCTGGAATCAAGGCGTAGTGTGATGGGGAGGCAAGAACTTGGGACTGAGAGGCAAGAACCTGGGTTCTAACTTGACCTTCTGCATGTTAATGAGTTCCAGGACTGTATGTCAGCCCAGCCACTTCATCTGCAGACTGGCAATGCTTTCACAAGCCTTAATGTCAGTCCGGCCACTTCATCTGCAGACGGGCGATGCCTTCACAAGCCTTAACATTCGCCAGGTAGACATTTTGGGGGCCTGAGAAACATTCACATCATCTAATATAAATTGGAGCTATAAAGGATCATAGGATCAGTAATAATAACACCACAGGACTACACAACCTTCATTTTATTTTTCACTTTTCAACTAGAATATCTTCTATAGTTCTCAAGAATCTAATTTTTATTTTTAAACATATTAATCATTTCTTTTTAAATAGGACTTCCCATAGGTTATTCATTTTTATTTAATATTCTGTCCTTTCCATAAAGTATTTAAGGCAGACTTGCAATACTTAATTTTTTTCTTTTAATAAATGTTATTTATTTATTTTTGACGTAGCTTTGGTTTCCAGCACTGTCTATGATTCAGAGGAATAGGTTCACTGGATTTAGCATGCTTTTAAGTCATCTAACTGCTGGGTATATTATGTTAATCACTATGCAAGCTAATATTTGTAGAGTATTTCCTATTTTCTCAATGTACTAAGTGCTTTGCCTTTAATTCTCACAATGAGTGTGAGAAAGTGCGGCTATCATATCCAGCTCTTTCATACACACACGAACGACCATCCTCAGCACTGGACTGTGTGGTCCAAGATCACAGAGGAGCTGGGGAGCAAGGCCAGGCGATGTCTGGGGAGCTGGGAGAAGCGATGGACTCGCTCACATCTCAATTTGGGGGCAGAATAACTGATTCAGGACTGGACTTCGACCTCAGAGTTCCAACTCTAATGAGGCTTTACATTGTTTTACTTGTCCTTTTCAGTTTCCTCTTGATAAACGCAATGCTATTTCAATAAAAATTAACAATCAATCAATAAATCTTTAAGAAGAAAATTTTAGAAACAGCAGCAGAGAGATGAAAGCCATGGTGGCTTGAGTTATCTTTGAAATATAGAACTTAAAAGAAGGAAGGCTCTTAACTTCTGTGATTTTGATGACAGTGACAGCAAAGATAATTGTAGTTAAGTTAGTCTTTTACATCCAGTTTCCCTCCATGGGAATTCAGAAATAGAAAAGACTTCTCCCCCTCTAATTCATTCTCTCACCAGTATTTCCTAAATGACGTTTTCCAACTTTGACGCTGGAAAGAGAGCACTTAATTGTATCATGGTGAAGCAAATACATGAAAACCCCTTAGAAACTAAGTGTACAGGCAAGTCCACTGTTGCTCGTGTGACATCAGTTTGAAATTGAAGACTTCCAGGATGCATTTTATGCAGCATCACCGTCCCACTGTAAAGTTATTTTTGGAACAAATAAGATAATATTTCTACTTCAAGGAGACCTTGTCTGCTTTGGGGAATTTTCTTCATGTAACGTGGAGATGCCATTACACAAGTTGTTTCACAGATTGCATGAAACTCATCCTTTGAGACAGCACGTGGCTGACAGTTGTGATGGAAAAGAGGGGCTGTGAGCGCTGTGCTTGGTGCAGGGCTGTGTGCCAGGCCTGGCTGGAGGCTGGCGAACCAGGTCCGGGCTGGCCGGGACAGGCGCGCCTCTCGGTGTCTGGAGGTCACAGAATCTGCGCAGCTGTGCTTCGCGGTGCCTGGAGCGTGTGTCTGAAAATAGCCCCCCCCCCCCACCTGCCTCTCTGCTGCCTTCCAGTCCGAAGCATTTGCTGCTTTTATTGCCAAAAGGACCACAATAACATTCACCGCACGTGTAGTTTGTCTTAATAGTTCTAAAGCCATCCATACCTTCAACATACCAAAAGGCAAAGAGAAAATGACTTGAAATTGGGGTCAGCATGAAATGTCTGATTGATTGTTCTTTGAGGATAACGAGAGAGGGGGTGGGAATGTAAATAAAAAAACCCTAATTACCAATGAAAGGGGAGTGAGCTATCTGTTTAACACAAAAAAGTGCTAAATGAAGTTCACCACAGAATACAATCTGTACACCAACAATTTCACTTTTTGATATTCGGTATATTTTCATTGAGAGAATTGACTTACAACACTGTATATGATTTAGGATTATAGCACCCCGCCTCTTCACACCACAGCCACCACCAAGACACTCATGGTCCTCACCCTACATTTCAGTGATTTTTCTATAGCTTATAAATATCTGCAGAAAGAACAATTCTCTTTGTCTAATAGAATACTTTCTTAAAAGTTAGCATGTAGTACATCCATTCGTATATTGTCAGCAATAGTTGTCACACGTCTTCTCTGTACTAGGCAGTGGGGGGTTATCAGAAAACAAGATAAAGCTCCCATGGAGCATCACATCTCAAGGCGGGGGGCAAAGTGAGTAATGAAACAGCCCATATGTCAGATGTTGAAAAGGGCCTGCAGGGGACAAGACAGAGGAGGAGGCAGAGAATGGCCGGAGGCACCTGTGGTGTATCCTTGTGCCAGAGGTGTCCTGGTGGGTCTCACTACAAGAGGATGTGAATGCTTCTGTGCAGCTGAACCTCTCCGAGGTTCCCTCTGCTGTGTGCTGGAACGTCACCCAGCATTTCTGTATGTTTTTTTGTAGAGGTCTCAGATTTCCTTTTCTGCCTCGAGACACCACCATTTCATCAGCACTTGTTCCCCTAATCGTCTCTATGCACGGGACGTTCTTCCCCAATAATCCAGGTCATATTCCTCTGGCTTTGGTGACCTGGTGTCTAAACCAGCTCTTTGAGTTTTGAGTTTAATGAATTAGGTGTATCATTACTGACATCCAGGCATGTCCAACTTTAGAACTGAGTCGTACTTCAAATGTTTGCCTCTAAGCTTTTTGAACCAGCTCTTCGAAGTTAGAGCTTTGGAAAAAAATAAAAAGTCTGATCTGAAGCTTTTCTATGCTCAGCCATCGCTCAGTGTACACACTGCCTTTTATGTGGGAAATACCTGAGTGCTTTCTTCTGAAAAGACCCAGTTGGCCTCAGATGCCTTAGGTGCAGCCCTTATTCTAGTGCAACAGACCTATGAAGAGAGAATAGGGATGTGTTGTCAGCTACTTGAAGAGTATTCTAGTGTAGTAGGCAGCAGTGGCGGGAAAAATAATATGGGTTTGATATTCTCATGTTTACTTCTTGACCTTGAAGAGAGAATGACAAAGCCTATTTATGGACTATCATAATATTGTGATTTTTCAATCAGAAGCAGTCAGGAATATTAAAAAGAGATGCAAGATTTTTATCCTGGAAAAGAAAAACCAATTTAGTTTTAGTCTTTGCATTATGAGTCAAAGAGTATAGAAAGTAGATATTCTTAGATAGTCAACAACCAGTATGACAGGTTAAAAAAAGCAATTTAAGAAATGTAACTGAGTACCATTCGCTTTTGTATTTGTTAAAATGAAATTGTCCCGTGCTAGTATAGAAATAACAAAGGAAGCAAATGCTTTTAAACATTGCTGTGATGGGGGAGAAATATAGCATTTCTATTTATAACTTGTACAGAGTCCCACATAAAAATAGCTCGAACTAACAGATTTGCTCATATCTGGAATACAAAGTTGTTGCTGCTTGTATCTTCAGGAATTCTAATAAGAACAACCACGGCATTGGTAAATATTGAAAGTTTATCATCTTTTCTTTTACCCTAGTTATCTTATGGGGGAAAAAAATTACTTCCTGGATAAGTCCTGGCTTCTCTGTCACTCGTTTTGTTATTTTCCCAGCTAGTGGTTTCTGGTTTTGAATGAAAAAGATACATTTGCTCCTTTCCACTTCACCCCATGAGGTGGACATATTGCTGGTAACTGTATCCCTGTCAATGAAATATTTGTCAGGCTAAGAGACTTACCCTTTCATTCTTCTAAAGACTAATTTTGTGTGATTTGGTGTGACAGCGAAAATATTAAGGACCTCAGATGTTAATGAAAATCCTTCTTTCTCTCTGATTTCCAGCGAAGCTTCCTGGGCTATGCCAGCTTCAAAGTGGGGGAGTTACTGAAGCCAAAGGAGCAGTTGCTGACCCTGAGCCTCAGGTGGGTCTCTGCCACAGACGGGCTGGTAAAGTTGGTAGCCCATGACATTTATTTATGACCGGCTGGGGCTGAAAGTCAAAATTCTTTCAGATGTTCAGATGTCAACTCTCAAATGACTCATGTTCTCCACAGCAACAAGTCACTGTAAATTATTCAAGTTGCTCTCCAAGTGCATGTCTCAGATTTAAAAGATTATCAGCCCTTGTAAAGAAAAGCAAATACCACATTGTCATTAAAGTTATGAAAGTCTTTGAAAGGGAGAAAGTAAATGGAAATGATGAGCATGTTATTAAGTAGTTTTTCTGGTACTTACCAAAATGTTACCTTTTTAATCAAGGAAGTTTCCAAGTAAGTTTGAAATGCTTGTAAGAGGCAACATAGCTGATCTATGGTCATAGAGTGGAAGCTAAGCTGATTATTCTATTTTTTTTTAGCTTCTTTTTTTGCTGTTGTAAGTTAAAACAGGCTTATATTAAAAGATAGAATAGTTTTGAATATGGATGAAATTTGTTTGGCTATAGAGTAGCATAATAATCTTTAGGAGGTTGGATAGTGTTTTAATACTAAGAAAGGTGTGAAATAGAATTAATATTTCTTTTTAATTTCGTAATAAATTTAAAACTATAGTGTGCTGTTTTCTAGTTGATTAGCAATTTTCATAATTATATACACATAGAGAATACTGCCTTACAATGTATGTATAATGTACAGGAATATATAAAGTGCAATATTTGATCTTAGCCAGAAAAATGGTATAGAAAACTATTCGTAAATCTTAAGACGCTCTTCTGTCCATGAAACACAGAGACCACTCTCAGGGAAGAGAAAAATATTTGGGCTAATTGCGCTGTCACCCCCTCTCCAGGACCCGCTGGAAACCAGCAATTTATTTCAGTGACGATGCCATGGCTTCTATTGGAATCTGTAGCGCCTGGTGTCTCTTTTCTGATTTTTCCTCATTCTTAACTGCTTTCCGTTTTAACACAACAGATAGTACAGCAAAATTTAAAGGGATTCATATTCATGCAGGAAAAATAAATACTGGTGGGTTCTAATGATGACTTACCTTCTCTTTGACTTCCTTTTGGCTTTGTCTCTTAAACATGTTTGTTTTTGTTGTTGTTGTTGTATTTTATTTGGGAAGACATTGAAAAATCTTTAAGGTTTTGTGATGAGTCCCAATGAGTTTTGCCGGATTACTTTCAGCTGCAGCTAAGAAGCTGGGATAGTAATGTCTCTGATCCCCTAGAAAATTACTATTACCCACCTAGCATGGTGGTTATGGCTGTCCACAGTGGCCCCAGATCCTTGATATGAGATGCCAAGCCTTTAACCCACGGAGAACCACTAGCAGGCTGCATGTTTTCTAGATAAGATGCCTAGCACTTTATTCCGCGTCTTTCGGACTCGCAGGCGGCAGTGCTGATTGTATCATAACCGTCATTAGCGTCAGCAACACACAGTACAACACGGAGATTCTGGCTTTGATAGAGGAATCTTCAGAGGACCAGGAGTTCTTAGTGAAACAAAAATTAGTGAACACCTGTAGTACCTTCCACGGTGGAGAGGACAAGAGGGACCTGGCTAGAGCTCCACCCTTGGAAGAATTGTGGAAATTTCAGGTTTAGACGAAATTAAGACAAATTTCCATTTTTTAATTTTTTGTGTTGGGGGTACTTTGGTTTACAGCCATGTCTGTGTTTTAGGCGTTCAGGTTCACACCTCTTCAAACGTCTGTGACCACAACACACCCCCCACCTCCACACCCATGACTCCCCGCCACCGCCATGCGATCCCCCACCCTTTTCCTGCTCAGCATCCCTCTTGAAACCAGCATTCTGCAGTCACAGCCCAAGGGTTTGTTCTGATTTGGTTCCACCTATTCTTTTGCTTTTCTTCTTTATGTGCCACATATGAGTGAAATCATCTGGTGTTTGTCTTTCTCCTTTTGACTTATTTTGCTTCGGATAATCCCCTCCAGTTCCATCCATGTTACTGCAAATGGCGAAGTTTCATCTTATTTTATAGCTGAGTAGTATTCCCCTATTTGAATCTTCCTCATGTGTATCTGCTTCTCTGCCGTTGGGCACCTACGTTGTTTTCTTAGTTTGGCTATTGCCAACAGAGCTGCCCTGAACTTAGAGGAGCATTTGCCTTTTCAGATGAATGCTTTGTATTCTTCAGATAGATCCTAGGTGTGAACTTGCTGGATCAAGTGGTAGATCTGTTTTTCATCTTATGAGAAACCTCTACAACATTTCCCGTGGAGGCTGGGCTTGTCCACATTCCCACCAGCAGTGCATGAGGGTTCCATTTCTTCACACCCTCATCACCACTTGTCTCTCTTTCATTTTTAACTTTAGTACCATGGATCCTACTCATTTGCTTTCAATTTTATTTATTTTTTAAAAATTCATTTGTATTTATTTATGCATACAAGAACTGGGGTACAGGCCAGAGGTGTGGGGGTGAGAGGATTCACCAGAGACAGTGGGGAGCAGAATAAGCTGATCTACTGAAATACACTGCTGAGGGGCGCAGCGGGGAGAAAGGAAAGGCCTGCTGCACCTTATGGGTCAGCTCCCTGGCCGAGGATCCAACTCATGCTGCAGTGGCTTCCGATACCTTGATAGCACTGAGACTTTAACCCCAGTGCCACCAGGGAGGCCCCTGATTTCAATTTTATGAAAGGAAAACAAGTTCAACAACAAAGAATTGCATTTTAAAAATAAAAAATTCTGGAATTGTATTTTCTTTTTCTGTTCTCTCGCTCATGGCCATGTATTACACGTTCCCGATGTCCACACTATATGGAGCCATACTAGCATTCTTGTAAAGAGAATTATAACAGGCATGAGAGACACTGAATCATATAATTTAAAAGTTAATAAAATTCATTAAATATTTACTAATGTGTTCTTCATGTCCTAATAATTATATTAGATGTGTTTTATCTTTGACCTTTATCAAAGTAGGCTGTGGTATTATGATTTTCACATGTTGTCAGTCACGGAACTGAGATGTAGAAAGTGGTTAAGTAATTTGTACTAAGTCACAAGGCTCCTAAGTGGGAAAAACCGAGACAGGAGGCCACATATTTCTGACTGCAAAGCCTGTGCTCTTAATGACCCTCTTCTTTGATGAAGAAAAAAAAAATCTAGTTAAAACATGTGACAGGTCCAGGACCGCTAGTTCACGGTTCCACCTGTGGCTTTCACAACAATGCCTTGCTTCCAAGAGGTGAGTGAGGACAGAGTATGTTAACACCCCAGGGAGAAGCCAGGAGGACTAGCCACGTGGGTGGAAAGAGGAAACCAGCCTGTAGTCTAGGGGGAATTGAGGACTCAGGGAAACCTCCAGAATCTATTTTCACTCCCGATCCATGACACTCACAGGCCTGGAGCCGGGTTGACTGCCTGGGCACCTGCCAGTCATTGCTCTGCCAGCCCCACGGGAACATCTCAGGCCACGCCAGCAGGAACATCACAACTGCCTACCTCTCCTAACGGACCGGAAACATTAGGTCTGTGTCTGAGATGGTGCCAGCGCTTGTGGTAAATGACGATGCTCTTCAGTCAAACAACCACAAAGGCAGAAAAAAGGACAGGATTCCTAGGCTCTTCTCTCCTAGGAAACCCTTCTTGGGAGAATTGAGGCAGGTGGATGTGTTTCAACCTTGTCTGAGCTTTGTTGCCTGTGTCTCCTGGGCTGGCCTTCTTCCATGCTCATCTATTCCACCGGCAGTTGTGAACAGCTTCTCCTGTGCTAGCCACGGGGAGAGTTGCCTTGGGAAAGTGCTTAAATGGCAGTGGAGTTCATATTTTGCAGTTGACGTGGCTGCTTCTATTAATGAGAAATCTGGCCGTGTGCTATCTGCTAGCAGGCAAGAAGCATGTTGGGTGCTTTCCGTGCATTATCTTATTTAATCTGGGCCCGTTATCCTCACTGTCTCACAGCGTCTTGTCTAAGATCTGCAGCTGCTGATGTTACAAGTAGGATTAGAATCCAGTCTGGCTGGCTCCAGTGCTTGTTCTGCTTTTATTTTCCTGTCTCACAGGAGCCTCTCTCGAGCTAATAGAGTCTTTGCTTCCTTCTCCATTTCATAATCTGTAATTTGGAGAATTTTAGAGGCGTCACTTATTTTTTCTTAATGTGTTAGCTTAAAAGTCAATTATATTTGCCCACAACTTTGTGGAACTACAACCATTATTGGTTGGGTCTGGATTTGTGGGAACTGTGCGCCCTAAGCACGATGGTGTGTTTAAGACACTGACCTGCAGGGGAGGTGAGGGATCGGCTGCGTGAAAAGCCGAACACCTCACTAAGGACTCAGGTTTATGTCAGGGCAGGCAATTCACCTGTTTCAGAAACGCCTGGCTCCTCTGCCCAGCAAGTGCTCTGTTATATCTTGTATGGTCTTCTACTTATAGCCCCCTTCCCCGTGAAGCCAACATTTATATTGTTTTATCATAGTGGATACAACAAAATTTTCCTGAATATTGATGTGAGGGTTTATTCGTAAAAAGGGAATTTATGTTTCCTTTTCATTATTGCCTCTACCACATTTACAGAGGTGCTGTCATGACACATTAGATTCCGACGATCTTAATAGATTTCTGATGTGAGGTTTTGTAATATTCAGGTGTATGGGAGAGGCAACAGAAGAAATAAACTTTAGACTTCTGCTCTTTGTAAATTTCTCTCTTCTGTGTAATTCTATGTGTACATATTCATGCATAGACATATGTCAGTTTGCATGCATGATATGTGTTTGTGCATCTCTATGATTTTAGGAATATTTTGCTTTCTGAGAATCCCTGAATTTTCCATTGTTGTTAAATGTTTATGCTCAAAAAAGGCCCAAATTATGAGATCTCAAAGTTTTTTATTTTTGGTGTGTTGCTTAATTTCATCCCTTTAAACACACCTATATACACTTCAATTTTGTTGTTTCTAAAAGTAAAAGAGCAACAAAAATCCTTAGATATTTTAACTTAATT